GGCGACCGCTTCAATCGTTGGCCTGATTGCTGCCTCCTTCCATCCGTCCTCTCTAAGCATTTGTGTAATTTCGCGCAGGATCTCTTCATCTGATACTCCTGCCTGGTTCTTGGCAGCAGCGTACGCCGCCAGCTCTTCCACATTCAAGTTTGGAACGTTAATCTCCATTGCCTAATTCGTTTTAGACGTCTCGTTCTTTGCCTGCTAATATGCAGGGCTTCCAGTCGCTCTTCGATCCGCTCGCGCAGTCCTTGACTGCGGCCTACTCCTCGTCGGTGAGGACTAGTAGGGCTTACCTTCGGCTGTACTTCTCTTCTAGCTAGTTCTAAACAGCGTTTGGCTGCTATCGTGTCGCGTCCCTAGGAAGACTCGCGTCTTGCCGTCTCGCTCGTGGGATCTCGTCTCTAATTGAGAGTAATCGCACGGCCTGCACCCCGTCCGATAGAGGATCGACAGGACTTCTCACTACAACGTCCGCTTCTAGCTAACTGTACGCTAGGCCCGAGTGGCCTTTAGGTAGTTTATCACGCGACGTTGCGCCTACGGCTCGGCTTTCCAAGACACGGTAGGACTTCCTAGACAAGTCCTGGGCGACTAAATCGCCTACTGTCTCTCACGGCTGAACTTCCTGCGAAGCTCTGCCCTAGGTGTACTGTCTTGCGACAGTCTACCTTCTCGCTGCACTAAAGGCCTTTTGTACCTATTGCAGCACCAACTCTGTGTTACTAGCTCGCACTAACAACACGCTCTAAAACTTAGTTAGAAGATAGTCCGCCTAAGGCTTATGTCTAATTGGGATCAAATACAAAATGTAAGAGGCTACGCTCTAGGGAGCAATCGCGAGGTATACAAGAGGTTGTATTCAATAGAGAGCTATAGAGTCTACTTGCGTGGTGTTTATTTACTTGTCGGAGAAAGGTTGCACCGAGTGTCTGAGCGCGTCGTCTGGGCGCCGCTCAGGCCTCGCACAGATGCCGGGTTGCAGAGTAAGACCTGGCGTCTGCTGCTTGACCGAGATTCCATCGAGGAGCTATCCAAAGGGCGTTCAGCCCGTTACACTGGGCACCCCACCAAACTTCGCGCGACGTTCTGCGCAATTAAGCCACAACAACGTATTAAAATAATATAAAATTAAAATATATAGTTTACTATTTAGCTCTATATAAAGTCTAAGTATATCCTTTAACGTTATACTCTGTGCACGTTAGCGGCGCGCGCTAACGTCACTTACTAGCCTAGTTCTAGCTACCCTCTATAAGTAACCTTTCTACCTCTGCCATAAGCTGCTAAGCCTACTACACCTAGAGTACCCTACTAGAAGCAATATATTAACGCTGTTAATCTTGCTTTTGCTACTAACGCTAGTTCTCTTCACGTAGCTTCTTATTCTCCTCTATAAGTATTATTGCTAATTGCATTACTATCCGTGCGCAGCCAACGAGCTAGTATAGTCAACGAGCCACCCCACCAAGATTAGACAACTAAAAAGATAAGGTTATTAAGCCACCTACAAAAGCTATTATTGTGAGATCTTTTGGTATATTACTATATAGACGCTACTAAAGCGTTTACACTACTTATATCTTACTAGCGTCTTAATTTAGCGGGTGTGTAGGCTAAACTTAGGTAGGAAGGGCGCCTAAGGCGGACCCTTAACTACCTAGCTTAATAGAGCAACAACACAACAACGCTTTGCTAGTTTTTTTACTAGCTTAACTAAGGCTTCTCGCTTACGCTTGTTTACTGTATCGTGAGTTTTTTTTAGTATTGCAGCTTGTTGTTGTTGTTTAAGCGCCTAGGTAGCTGCCTTTTCTTTAGCGCGCTGTTTCTGCTTACGCTTACGCTCTATTTTAGCTTCCTATTAAGCAACTTTTGCAGCTTCTAAAATTTTAAGATTATAGAGCTTTACCACCGCCTTAAGTTCCTTATCCTTAGCTTTTTAGAGTTGTTCCTGCTTCTTTTGCTCTTCTCGTACGCTCTCGCGATACCTGGCTTCGCGGAGCTTTCTTAGGGACTAGAATACTGCTCCACTATGATACTCCTCGCGCTATTAAAGGTCTAGTGTCTTGCTCTTCTTCTTAGCGTTTGTTTTAGTGTTAAGCGAGCGATTGAGATACTTATTCTTATAGTAGAGAAGCTTGTTTTAAACCTATAAAGACTAAAATAAAGCGTTAAGCTGCTAGGCTTTAACTTTTAACTTATCTCTAACTGCAGCGTTAAAAACTTTTCACAGCTTACGCCAGCTATTACTATCGCTATGCTGCCTAATTTCTAGAGTCTTATCTTATTATTACAGGTGTTTGTTAAAGCGTTTTAGGATAACCTAAGTATCTATTAGCCACACCCTAGTAACTTAAAAACTCTTCTTAATAAGATCTAGAGTTTTTATAGAGCTCTAAGCGGGCTAAAAGAGGCTAAAGAACTCTCTTTTTGTTGCCTTTGCCGTGCCGTAGGACTCGTAGAGGTGGCGATTAAGTTATTTTAAGTATACTTTCAACATTAGAGCGAACATAACTACATTAAGTAGCTGCAAGCTATAGGTTGCGTGGGGTGGAAAGATAGCTAACAGGATGCGGTTGCCATTGTAGACATCTATAAAATTAGTTGATACATGGCTGCTGTAGCTATTAAGGATTAGAAGCTAGTAATCCTGTCTTGCTTCTAGCTTCGTGAAGCATTTAAATACCTATTTAAGCCACGCTATACTAATATTATTATTACTCTATCCTATCGCTAAGTTTAAGAAGAAAATCTTATGTTTTGCAACCTTAACAGCGTTAACCTAGCTTAATTAAATCCTAGCAGTGCCCTTATAGATAATAGCGGGCGGCAATACCTTACTAGAAGCGCATACGCAAGCTAGCAGCGTTACCTATTCTCTATTGCTATCCTATATCGCTACCTTAATCTCTTCTAACGCCTATAGTGCCTTAGAAAAGACGCGCTTTATGCGGTTTGTAATGCTAATAAAGAAGCCCTTCTTATCTATATTTTAGGTATTACGCGCGTTAACGTTATACTCTTGTATTTTAGAATGTAATAAGTTAAAGTATAGACTATATCTTTCTTCTAAATTAGCGTTGTAACGTTTGCAATTAATCCTAGTGCTCTATTTAATAGTAAGCTTGTTAGCATAGAAATATAGAAAGCAAGAAACCTAGGCTGTGTAACGGCGCAGGTAAGGCAGGTCGGATCTGTTTCGGTCGTAGGATCACTCAGAGGCATATGGGAGTGCGTGGGATCACAAAGAGCCTAGATTCAACAAGCCACCTATAGGCCTTGTACGAAAGGATATCAAAAGTCTACAGAGCTAGCTACAGGGAGTGTCTCAATATATACCTATCCTAGTCGGGTCCGAATTCGGATCCGACCTCGGGCGAATGGCTGATGAAGGGCGGCAGGTACTTCCTCCGATCCGGCTCTGGGATTGGCTCAATACTTGGCGAAGTTGTAACATCGTTACAGGCTGTGGAAACCTTATTTTTAACTATCGTTGCCGCGAAATTTTGTATCATTTCACGCGTAGGAGGAAGCCCTTAGCAAGTATAACGTTCTATGTACAGCATAAGTTTATACTCTTATTGTAGGTTAAGATTTTAGCGGTCTTAGGCAGCTTATTTAACTTTAGATAGTTGTGCGCCTTTGTGCTATTGCAATAGCGTTATTTAATTAACTTTAAATATTTTTGCAACTTAGCGGTACAAGAATTTATCTCTAGCCTTACGCAATTTAATATATTTAATTGCTTCTTAAATTAGATCTATAGTTGTGGAGTTACAACGCGTTAAAGGTGGGTGGGTTCACGATGCGGCAGTTTGGTGGGGTGGCTCGTTGACTGTACTGGCTCGTTGGCTGCGCACGGATAGTAAGTAGCGCATGGAGGGGTCGCAAGCTTGATTGTAAGATTCCGATTTTGATTCTGCGCAACGACAACTGCAGCGCAAGTACATCGTAGAAGGAGAGAGGACGCGTATCTAGGCTTAAGTATCAATGGGGTCTAGCCATGACCTCAGGGAGCAGCGTACTCGTGACCATTGTCTATAGACCCTCCTTGATTTTAGACCGCTTGTAAGCAACTTCATCCATAGCTGCTGCAAACTCTTTCCAAAGCCTCTTCCTAACAATTTCTTTCATTCGCTGATATCTTCTTGTGGAACTCGTTTCGTGCTCTTCCTTCTGCAGCGACTCGGTACAGTCTGGGCCCCACGTCTTCCAGCACCCTCTGCTCTCAAAACATTCCCAAGGTTCTTTCCCGTATGCAAAACGAATATAAGCGTTCTGCATGCGTCTGGAAAGCTCCAGTTGGCCTGCACCCGGCGTCTCTGGCCAGTTTCCAAAGATATACATCAAATCGTGCGCATGATGTGCAAGACCGAGGCCTTCGCCCGGAATTGTGGACTCCTGATCGAAATGGTACGCATAAGTGGTACTTTTGATCGGAGACCTTTGAGCAGATAACCATGTCGGCATGTGGAAAATCGCGTCGGCAGCCATGAGGCACATGGTATGCTGGATATCTGCTGTGGGAAGCTCGGGGCCGACTTGATAGAGCTTGAGTATCTCAGAGGCAGCATCCGAAGACATATGGCGTAGAAGAACACCGAGGAGATAAGAGCGATCATTGCCGTCCAGAGAAATGTCGTAGCCAAAGATCATACCTTCATCGCGCGCATCACCCACCATGTAAGACTCAAGATCTTGAGGAAATATCTCCGTGGTTCTATCAGGATCGTAGAGAGCCTTGGCGTCTAGAAAGAAGCCATCGTCACAAGGCAGGCAGGAACCTGCTGTGACACCATTGACTGATGATGATAATGCCGCAAGCTGACGCTCAGGCACGGCACGAAGCTTTTGTAGGGCATTTGGAGAGTCATAGGGAATCTTTGCTGCTTTTAGTAGAGCCCGGAACCAGAGTTCATGCTCTGCTTCAGACCAGCAAGGGAACGATATGGCTGTTCCAGACATCGATATGGCACGGCGAAAAGAAACGGGCTCCTTGGCAGCGCATTGAAGGCCTACCGAAGCCCCACCAGCAGAGCATCCAAAATAGTGACATTTTTGCAGTCTCCGCCGAACTCGTGCACGTATCTTTGGATCCAGTTCAAGGCAAGCTGCTGGTCCGTAAGACCAAAGTTTCCGTTTCCAGAGAAGCCATCTCGTTCCAATTCCGTGCGGATGACCTTGGAAGCAAGAAAACCTCCAAATCTCACACGATAACTGATAGTAATTCCTACTACTGGTTTTCCAATTGTAACAGAATGAGACACCAGTCTGCCCATATCATATGCAGGGAGATTGCTGGAGCCGGAGAGAAAAGCGCCGCCGTGTATGAAGACCATAACCGGCCATGGTCCGCCTCTACGCGACATCGAAAGGGGTGGAACTGTGATGTTGACGACGAGACAATTGAGTTCATCCACTGTGGCTTTACCTAGATGCGCAAAGGGAGGTACTGGGAGAAGAGTACTGGGCTCATCATCGAAGGTAAATTCAGGGGGACTTGGAGGAGATGGTCTAGGGAAAGAAATGATTTAGTAAGAGATCATGAATCACAATATGTGAATGCGCACCCAAGTACTGTACCATCATGGTATGAGTCTTCCCAGGAAGTAGCCATAGTAGCCCGTGTCCATCTCTTTGAGAGCCTCCCGTATGGAATTCCAAAGAATTGCCTTACGCCGCTCGATAGAACAAGTCCTCTCGCATCTCCAAGTCCTTGAATGTGAATGGTAGTGGTGCCCGTAGGCTTCGGGCTGTCCATTATCGCAGGATGCCGACAATAATTTGTGTATGTAGAATAATGATATGCAGCCCGAGGAGCTTTCGTGGTTCAAAAATCATCATATTTATCCTAAATAGAGCACGTAGAGCGCACGACGCATGTTACACACAAAATACCCCGACGGCTGTATAATCTCTGTATAATATTTGGTCTATCTAGAATATATGTACACACAAAAAGATATAGTAAAATAAAAACTTGCTAGCGCTTTAGTAAACAGCTTTATCTAGATAGTACATTATGTTAGCGTCTGCTAGTCTTGTTCTTGCCAGTCTTCCTATCCTCCTAAAAGAGCACAGAGAGCACACTATTGCCATGTGATTACTGATCCAAAGTGAATAGCTGTACGGCCATGTAGCGATTGCCGGCAAACTATAATAGAAACTAACCCAATACTACTTTGTGTTACGTACTACATTGCTGTATGTCTAGTTAGCTTCTTCACCGCCTTCCAAGTCAGCTTTAAGTGTATAAACCGCGCTTTTGCTCTAATAGAAAACGAAAATTCATGTTACAGGTGTGCTATTCTTTCCTACTACTAACTACCCACTTTCGCTTACTTCGTGCCTATTAACTAGTCCCAGATTGAAAATTTACCCCAACAGTTCTCAGGATGACCGTTGTTGCACGCTTGTTTCCACTCACAGTTATTCCATTCATAATTAACTGGATCCCTAACCTCACAGTAGTAGCGTGCATTACTATCGAATTTTCTCACAAACCCATCTTGCGATCCGACGCAGAGATTCCAAGTTGCTACGTCGTCGAAACCATCGTTGGTGTCATTATCAGAGCAGGCGCAGTACTGGTAACCAGCACAGGCATGGATCTTAGCTGATCCAACTGCGATGATGTAGATAATAGCGACACGAAGACCCTGAGTAATTATCAGCTCTATACAGCAGAGAAGACTTGTAAGGCATAGTAGCGATACCTTCATTATTCAAATGTTGAGTTCGATTGATAGTACAAATAGTAGTAGGGCGTTGGCTTTGATTTGTTGAATGGGCAAGGGGGCCTTAACAATATTTACTAGTGTTTTCCTCTACGTAACTAGAGAGGTAGAAGTAGTTAATAAATAGAAAGTGCGGGAATTATTTCTAGAGAGAGAGTAAGCAGTAAGACAAAAAATTTTCATACGATCTGTTGAGAGATGGCTACATTCGGACCGGATCTGGTATATACGGTATCTAAATAAGTTCACTAATATTGTATGTATTTTTCAGATTTGTGTGAGTATCTTCTATTTCTTAGTATAGCCTTATTTCTTCTCTAATAGCTGTACCTTCGCCACCAAACGTTGTTTACAATGCCTCTACCTCTATCCTGGGCGTAGTTATTAGATAGGCCCTTTGAACTTCTCTCCATATCCTCTACCTGTGACGATATCCAGCTCAGCTCCACCTAGACCACCACGTGCCCAAAAAGGTACAGTATGCTGCATTAGCAGTATCTAGAGCCGAACCATGTATGTCGTGACACTACCACTGACTGTATCGGTTCAGAGCCAATTCAGTTCACTATCTTATACTTAAGCTAATTGGTTTATTCTTTGATGTTAGTACTAATAGAACTCAGTAGTGTACTACAGCTATATATAATGATGCTGTACATTTTACTTGAAGAGAGAGGGGAGTTGATTGATATTTCTACTCCTTATGCTCATAGCATATCTAGATTACTACTATTATACTGCTAATCTGATCAGTTCAAATACACTAAAATCCTTTACTAAGTGCATAAGATATAGGGTATTGAACTTCACTACTACTACTAAATATCGTGTACTATACTACGTTGTGAAAGCCGCAGTGTCCGCACGTGAAGATCAGTCTTAAAACAAACGACGGAATTGTATCCCCTTCTCGGAATAGCTAATTGTTTGCCACAGAGAAGGACCGAGCAGACGCGTATGTCTTCTTGCTCGTCGGCTTGGAATTAAATTGGCCGGGAAGCTTTGAGCACGGGATACACGGGCACTATGTTATGCGACCCGTTCTGGCGATTTATATTCCCTTACAGACTATTCCCTAGAGTTAACAGCAGGCTCTATCAATAATTATAGTTGTAGCCCTGTCATAGCTGGCCTGTTCCTGTATTTCTTCTGGCTCGTTTCTCACGGCAAAAGCTATTCGCCCTGCTGCCAAGACAGCATCATCCTGCTAGTAAGCAGGGATGCGCATTAATGCGGGGATAGTTGGCATTCTACCCCTGCTTTCCACCATTATTTCAAGTTCTGTTTTAATGGTGCAAGACTAACGGCTTTATAGATAAAGACTAGCTGTGTTAAGCAACTCGCAATAACTACCGCGCGGCTACATTACTGTAAGTAACAAAACGTACCGCTCATATTCGGGCCAAGCCTACTCATGCGCACCTCTGCTTACTCGTGGGGCGATACTATCTCAGTGGCAAGGCGAATGACTTTTGCTGTTTCTAACTGCATATTCTTCGCTAACAACTCTGTTGACCTTGTGAGCCAAGGCTTTTCTTTCCTATGCTCAAGAACCTAGTGATATGAAATTTGCCCTCTGTTGATACATCAATAATGGTAATCAAGCTATATCCTATAAGAATACTACTCGACGATCTCCTTGGACAGGTACACGGTGGTTTGCGAGGACATCCCTGCAAGCTTTAATATCTAGACAAGAAGTACCGTGTCATATTTTATGCAGATTAAGATCGACTCAGTTGAATTGTTTTCATAGGGCTAGAACCAATATTTACGTCCTTCTCTTTCAGGAAATCAGTTATTACTTGGCCGGATACTGCTATTCCTAGTAAAGACACCCGAACTTTACTAATATATTATCCTCAGTCCTCCCATCATCTTCACTTCACATTCCACTTCCTTAACTACATCTTGATTAATTACTCAGCTACGATCTCGTCAAGTAACTATAATGTACGCTTCTACTATCGTCTTCGCCCTCGCGGCCGCCACTAGCATCCTTGCTGCCCCTGCGCCTCAAGCTGTTCCACCTCTTGGCACCTGCCCAACTTGGGATGGTATCTATGGCAACCCTGGTGGTTTAAACTGCTGCGTCTACGCTGGTGGTCCCGTAAGTCCTATTTTCCACACTATGCCAACACAAAGTAGGCTAATACCCATCCTCTACTTATAGACATCGTGCTGCATGAACAATTCTCCCAATTCTACATACATCCCTGAATTCAACTATACGTATCTCTCTTGCCAGTCGCCCTGGTTCGCGGATATAAACAAATTCTATGAATTCAACACTTGCAACATCCCTGGCAACTCTGGACTTGCTAGATGCGTCGGGGTCCCTATTGTCATACATTACTGAACCAGTAAACAGTAGTATGGGCTAGTTAGTTATATGAGTAATTATTTCTTTTAATATGAATATAATACCTACTAAGAACTCTGTGGGTTTGAAAATAGAGAAATCAAAGAATGATTGATGAATAGCTTTTCGTATCTTGTGTATCGAATATAGAAGCTTTGTATGGTAAATCTCTCACGCATCTCTCTACAAGATCACGTTTCTCTAGGCCTCTATTAATAACATCAGGTGACCTAGACTTTGATTTCTTATTGTTCTTATCAGGAGGCGTTATAGATTGGCGGCGGTACATTCAGCCCCTGATTTAAACCTCGAGCAGCAATAGATACTGGTATGGTTGCCAAGTGTCTAAGAAGCTACCAGGAGCACAAATAGACCTTTACACAATGATAATATAGAGCCGCCCAATTCTATTGCTAACAATATAGAGAGCCTGGTCCTCAAAACATCGAGCCAGAAACTTGGATGAACCACGTTCTTCGCAACGCAAATACAAAGCGATTTATTTCTATACAGTGATGGGTCTTCACTTACCGAATTCATGCATAAGGTCATCGCGGGGCAGCTTGGATCTTCCTCGAGCTGAAACCTCTAAGCGCTCGCCTAGGTAATCATGCTTTTCGCTGTCTTGTCCTGCAATTTTCCTGGTTCCAAGTGTTCTTCCAGAATGTTCCACTACTGCATCATCAATGTAGCCTAGCAATCGTTATCTAATTTAGATCTCAATGACAATTGACAGTTATCTGAAACTAAGGCGGTTTATTTAATTAATTGGGTGAGCCATTATCTCCCCGTAAATAGTGTGAGTACAAGGCCGCCGGCTTAACCACTTTTGTATCCAGCCCGAGATACCCAAATTTTAAGCTTCTTGTCTTTTCGAGGCAAGTAGATAAGACGTCTACAATATATCTTAGACATAAAAAGAGGGTTCGCTTGATAATACAAACAGTGATATGCAGGTTGCATGGAACCGAGATTTGCTTTATCGCGACCGACAACCGCCTTCTTCGTGGGAACCAATCCTCCTAACCGAAGATTTCCATTTAGTTAGTGTGGTGGAAGGGAACAAGTTGCAAGCAAAATTTATTATTAGAGACGATATATTTGACACATGTGGCAATACAGAGGTGTCGGATAAGGCGGTCACGGTTAAGACTATTCTTGGCCCTTTAGGGCAAGAGGATGTTGATATCCTACGCTGTGTAGGCCTCAATTATGCGAAACACAGTAGGCAATGAATATCGGCTGCAGTCAGACTTCGCTAATCCATGCAGTTCGCGAAGCCGGTCGAACTCCGACCCATTCCCATTCATCGTTTTCAAACCATACAGCTTATTCAAGATCATGGCCAAGATGTATGTAGTAATCCCCACGATTGCACAAGACAGCTAGGTCAATGATGAAGGAGAGCTCGTCCTAGTCGTTAGTAAAATACTAAAAATGTTCCTTTGGAGCAACCAGTTGATGACGTGGCTGCCTACACTGCAGGAAACCATATTTCGTCACGAAAGCTCCAGCGTAATCCCAAGCTCTCACGAAATGTGCCGCAATGGGGGTTTTCCAAAGTTTTCGACACCTACGCTCCTCTTGGGCTAGCTCTTATCTCATCCTCGCTTATTGGCGACCCCAGAGAGTTGCGCTTGCAGACTATTGTCGATGGCAAACTTAGGCGAGAAGAATTTCTAAGTGATTCGCTATTCGAATGCGCCTGTCTAGTCTACTATCTATCTCAGGGCACAATCTTACGAAAAGGCTCCGTTATTGTGACCGCACTCCAGGATGTACGCACATGCAATTCCCGAATTTCGACCTACTAATCTCTTTACAGACACTGGGCTGGTCTCAGACCACCAAAGTCCCTGATACTAGGTACAATCATGCATGTACATATCAATAAGATAGGAACCTTGAAGAATACCGCACATTTTGCTCGATAGATTGAATCCCAAATGCGTATTTGTACCATTGTGTTACTTTGAATCTGTTACCTTGAATCAGCGTAACAATAATGTTGCGATGCATATGCTGAAAACGCGATTGAGGGTGTTTTAGTATGATTCGTTTCTAATCAGTTCAACAAACTTCGCTTTTCCAAGAGATTTAGTCAGATACAAGGGACTCCAGATCCTGTCCCTTGTATCGATAGAACCCCAGCGCTTTGATCATAGGTCCATCATGGATCCTATACAAGTACGTCGTTTCATTGCTGTCAGCGTGATGCTGATAATCATGCCATGATGGAACACAGAATGTGTCTCCTTTCTTCCAAGCATAATCTCTCCCATCAATCGTGGTGCGCCCTGAACCTTCAATGACGTGGAAAATTGAGGAAGTGGTCTCCTGTACAGATTTTCCTGACTTCCCTGCAGGAATCCGGGTTGCAGAAGCGCCCAGAGTACGACTAACTAGAGCAAAGAATCAGCTTTCCATTCAGCTCTTCCACAGGGAAAAAAGGCTCACTTTCGGACCCATCTGGTTTCAAATACGGGAGTTCGGTCACTGCTTCAGCAGCCTCATCCAGCTGCTGCTTCATTTCCGACCAGGGGAATACGATTGGTGAGGTTGAGCTGTCGACATCCTGGGCAGGGTATCGAGGATCGGTGTAATGCTCGACAAAGTGCACAGGATAGTGTACAAAATTTGGCAGGTCCAATCCATCAAGCCATATCATCGGACCAGAGCCGTCTTTGCCGTGGTCATGCCAGTTCCACGTGGGCGTTAGAATAACATCACCTCGTTGCATCTTAATTCGCTTTCCATGCACAGCAGTAAATCCGCCTTGCCCTTCAATGATGAAACGACAGGCAAAAGCAGTGTGGCGATGTGCTGGCGCTGTTTCATTAGGCATGACCAGCTGAAGACCGCCATAAATGGTATCCGTGGTGAACGGAGCATCTGCATCAGTGTCAATTCGGAATGATACAAGTGTATCTCCAATGAAGGCATACCACGAGCTGGATTGATGAGCATTAGCACTCGGCGCTCAGCTTGCTTCTCGGTGACAAGATTTCCAGCTTCTAAGAGCTTGGGCCTTATCTTCGCATAGTCCCATACATGCGGCTTGCATTTTGGATTTGGTAGTGGGGGGTTCAAGCGAGCCATTTGTACCCAAAGGGGCTTTGTCTGAAGCTCCTCCGCTGCTTTTAGCAGGTTCTCCACGGCAGGTGATGTTTCATCGTGATGTTGTGGGGCCATGTCTTGGAAATTCATGAATAACTGATGGCTAAAGAAGATCGAAGTCAAATACTGTTCACTCACAGCTGGAACGAGGCATCAGATCTGTGAGTATCTACTCCTTATCATCGGGCCATCCACCTGCAGTCCTACATAGCATTGTCAGCATGGGTAAGATGCCGCACATCCGGACTTACCGGATGTGTCTCATGGTGGTTCGGAGTTAGCAAGTCAACGAGAGCACAGCAAACTGCGGCAGTACTGTACCTCGGCAGTCAGCTGCAGCCTGCAGATATTGACGGGGAGTTAAGTAACTTTGTTCCGACCGAAGAGCAGCCGCGCCCAGATGGCGGCATTATTGCGTGAACAAACTGCGGGGTATGCGTGTCTCATGCGGCCTTTCGTTAAATCCGCGGTGTGCTGCTGCAACGCGACCGCCGGGCGGTGGTCATCCTTCACTATCTTCCAACCTCCAACACCTTGGGTCGGGACGATATTCCGGTCCCACAGGGCGATGGCGTCTGCATCCACAAGCGGGAATCGCCGCGCAGCCAATACCGACCCACGAGCCAATGACGGGGCCCCAACAAGGCCAGCGAAAAGGAATAGGATCATAATTGCATGCACAAGCTGCAGACAGCGCAAATCACGTGTAAGTGACAACACTCTGCGTCTGTGCTCCTGGACTGCAGCCCTGTCGCGTCATCTCTGCTAATTGTTAGGTGGCCCTGCTAGTGTGATGGACTACGGCCAAGGTGCTCCACTTGCAGAGACTACGGCCTTGACTGTGTATATTCCAATACCAGCACTCTGACCAAAAATTCCGCCTCCAAAGAGTTAGCATATACTAGCCGATTAAACGGCCATGGCAGCGGTTGTTTGGAGCTGACCTTAACGCAGACTCATTGACGCCCTCCAGGCTCGTCTCGCATGCCTCGAGAGTGGTTTTACAGGATTATCTACCAGAGTGAGCAAGATTGAAGATTTGCAAAGCGAAAAGGCTACACATGTAGCCCATTCGTCTATACTCCTCAGCAATGCTCCGCCTCAGCAGCCAGAAGGCAGTGCGGGCAATATACCCGAGCTAGAAGATCCGGCTGATGGAATGGGCTCAATGGTTTTCACAGAGGAACAGAACTCTGGATATTTTGGTGACGACATTCTTGCTGAAAGCTCTGTGTCCTGGGGAACTAACTGAAATCTTAGGTCCCTCTTCCAATATCGCATTCACACGCCGCATTGTTCGATCAACAACCACCATTCTGAAGAATGCAGCCTCTGCTGGTACTCCGATATCTCCAGAGGACTATATTATTACAAGCCACGCTCTGCGTATATCTCGGCCCACGTCACCGATAGCTGTGCATGCTTACAATTCTGGCGCTGTCTCAATTGGCACTGAACCATTTATACTGCCACCTCAGGGAGAGACTCTTCATCTCATAGAGCTTTACTTCAGTGCGACTGGCATTCTTTTCCCGTACATTGATAAAGAAAGCTTTCTGCAGACTTACCAGCAGCTCTCTTTGATGGACATCGTCTCTGTGCGGAGATCATGGCTTGGTCTGCTCAACGTAGTGCTTGCAATGGCAACAACCGCCAATACGGGTCACGACACAACGCTTTCTGCACAGGAGCGTGCATCCAAGTCGGATGTCTTCTTTCGTCGCGCTTGGATGCTTTGTGATCGACAGATACGGCACGGCGCCAGTCTCGAAATTGGTATGCAAAGGATATCCATGCACTCGCCATTCACATACTAACGGCAGATCATTAGTGCAACTTCTGCTGCTGATGAGCCAGTACCTTCAAGGTTCTGAGCGTTCGATCGAGACGTGGAATATCCATGGCCTTGCTGTGAAAGCGGCTTATCAATTAGGCTTACACTCTTCTGACGCTCTCCGACAATACCCGCCTCTGGAGCGCGAGTTTCGCAAACGAACTTGGTATGGATGTGTCATGCTTGATAGGTAAGTGTCATCAACAATTTCAAGGTCGATTTTAACTTGAGTAGAACACTGAGTATGACCATGGGACGACCCGTGTCTATCCCAGAGCAGTATGTCAAAATAGAACTGCCCCAACCGCTTGCCGAATCGCCATCGGAGGACGAAGTCAGCGTACAGCTGTTCACGGCGACAATGTCAGTCGAGCAACATAACTTGCGTAAATCGCTTTACTGACATTCCACAGAACTCTTTATCGGATCATGACTGATATCTTCGATGTCCTATATGGCAGCAATCTAGGGTGTGTGGATCATGTGGACATTTTCGAAAATGCATCCTATCTCCTGAAATGCGAGCAAAGATTCTTTGTGTGGCAGCGCGACTTGCCAAGGTCAATATCTTTGATTGGATCAAATGAACTGGAATACGAGCCGAACGAGTTTACAATTACGCGATTACGCGTCATCTTGACTTTAAGATTCCTCAACCTCCGCATACTTGCTCACAGGCCACTCTTGTGCATGTACCTTGAGAGTTTGGGTGCGTCACAAGTAGATCCGTTGCAGCTAGCTACCTTGCGGCAGGTTAGTGCCAATAGTGTCCAGCTTTGTGTCCAATCTGCAACCATGATCGTCAACATCACCAGTTGGGCCTTGAAACATAGCAGTCCCCCTCGCTATCTGCTTGGTGCGTGGTGGTTTTCTCTTTATTACAGTAAGTCATTCAGCGCCACAGACTCCCGCCAACATTCTAAACTCACTTTTACAGCCTTCAATGCGTCGCTTGTATTATATTCTGCTCTACTCATCCAGCACCAGACAAAAACGTGCAATCTGCCGTTGGGAATGGAAGAGCTGAATGTTTCCATGGAATCCCTTCGACAGGCAACTGAATGCCTTTCCATGATATTTCGCGGGAACAGGATGGCAGAAAAGTGTGTGCGGTATGTCTCTGCACTGTCGAACTGGCTGTCGGTGATATGTAAGAACGCCTCTTCTCGCTGTACATACGCTTTTTGACCTGTTGTATAGATATGACAGACAGAAACTCTGGGTTTGACACCTCTGGACTGCCTGATGACCTATTCGAAAGGTTCAGCACACATGGGTATTCCGACAGTGCACGGTCCCACGATAACCTACATTTCTTCGACTCTACTGACGCACACCTGGGGCTTGGCTCAAATGAACTCTTAAACCCGGCTGATTCCACTTTCATGAGCAGATACACAGGCTCACATTTGACATGAATTGCGCTTCCAAAGTGAGAGCATTATCAACCGATGGAGCGGAATGATTCTAGTTTATGTAATCAGACAACTACATGTCTACGGCTCCCTTCATACTATAACTTGCCAATCCCAATCAGTATGTCTTCTCTACATTGAGCTCGGCCACAGCTGTATCCCAAGCCTGTTCCATTACTTGCTCCGCATCATAGCCGTACGCCCACCAATAGGTCGTCGGATCGCTCCACTGGTTTGCGCTGCTCGTATACGCTAGGCCAGCAACCTCGGCCGCCATAGAAGCATCTCGTGCCGTTTGCTCTGGCCCATCAGCAAAGTGCCAGAGAATTCCATTTATAGCGCTTGCATCCATCATATCTCCAGTGCGCTTGATGCGCTCCTTTTGAAATACGCGCAGTGCTAGCGGGATCTCTTCTACGCTGGCAATGTGATTCAAAACGGTAGCAAGAGCAGCGCCATCTTCCACTGCCATGGCTGCCCCTTGCGACATGTATGGCAACATCGCGTGAGCCGCGTCGCCAATAACAATCAGTTTTGAAGATGACCACGAAGGGAGCTTACGGCCACTTCGTAGAGGCCATTTTGTGCACGTGTCAATCAGTGAGAGGACCTTGGTAATGCTATGTAGATATTTAGTGGCATATCGTTGCTTAAGAGTTGTGAATATCACCTTGGATCCCATCCACTGAATTCTTCCTGGACATGCTGCTTAGTGAACTTTTCGGTGGTCCAAGTCGCTGGATCCGAATGATCGACGTGAGAAAGAACCATGTTGAAAGATTCGCCTGCTGTGATTTGATAGGTCATGATGTGCCTTTTCTCGCCGATCCTGAAAGTCTTTAGCGCTGCGCCAGGCTTTTATTCACCACACTTACCAGATGTTGACGTCGGGCTGTTCAAGAAGCCATGCTAGATCGGGCTCCTTCTTCATTTTCTCCACTGGTACAGTTGCTCGATACACTGCAAATCCGCCGAACTCAGGCTCATAGTTCATTTCGGGGTAGAGTGTTGTTCTAGCCTTGGACTTGATCCCTTGAAAGCGTTAGTCAATGCGTACTTAACGATGGCAGGGTTGTGAAAGTCTGTTCCATACCATCTGCAGCAACCACAATATCGCCAGTTACGATGGATCCATCTGCCATCAAAACGGACCCATTCTGGGCATCATAACTGACAACTGCCTTGTTGAGCTCTATCGTAACACCTAACTCTTTTGCTCGCAGGCACATGGCTTCGTGAAAGTGGGCCCGATGCACAACATAATACGGTACGTCAAAATCAGCCTGGAAAGAATGGCCCAGTCTGGTGCGCCCTATAACCTTCCCATTCTGCCACCGTCGGATATTCATATCCTCAGGCTGCACTAGGAATTTTCGTAAGTGCTCGTGCACGCCCCAGCGGTGAAGCAACCGTCCAGAATTTGGTGGTATTTGTATTCCGGCACCAACCTAGATCCATGTTTTAATATTGCAATGACTCAAAAAGATTTCACTCATACTTCACCCAGTTGAGGCGCTTGCTCTAGAATCACGACTGAGTGTCCTCTTCTTGATAGTGCGATAGCGGTCGCTAAGCCTCCCAGACCAGCGCCGACAATTACAACCTTTAGCTTCAATCGTGCTTGACATGCCGGTTGTTCTTTGATGTATGGCTCATTGCTATCCCGTGATTGGATACCAGAGCTGATATGCTGAAGAAATCTGAGGGATTGAGTGGGGTAGCCTGGCAAGCTCGGCGTAGGCGTGAGCGGTGAATTTTTGTTGCTTGGGTCGAGTTTAGGAGATGTTGCAGTTCCATTCGGAACAGAATTGCGAGTACCGTTGATTGTATTGCAAGTAGCTGTCATGGCAGTGGGAATAGGCTGGTTAAATTATGGCAATCAAGGGGCTAACAGCAGTTGATCCTGAACTTTTGATTACCTGCAGACAGCGTATCGATTCTCAAGTTTTCTCTTAGCAGCCCTAAGGCAAGTCGTTGTTACTTGACTGCATGTGTTTTAGCAGCCCCAATGTCGCTTTTCTGAAAGTGCGGGGAGAAAGGAAGCGTGTGCGGAGTTAGGATGTCGATAAAACCTATTTTGCCACATACTCCTGCTCCCTCTGATATGCACCTGAGGGCTGTGCTTCTTCCGGAGCCAATCGGTTTCAAACACGGCATTATTGCATACGACCCCGCACATTTTGGAATGAAGATTCCGTCGGAGCCGAGCCACCCTCAGTTTCGTTTCTCGCCATATTACGAACAGAATAAAATTGCATCGTAATGGCTTCACCCTTATCCTAGCCAGATCAACTTGAACTAGCGTCAAAATATTAGGTCGTGTTCAACCATGCGTGGAACTCGAGCGACTTCAGCACCAGCGATGGTGGGGGGTGATGCAGAATCAGCTGGTGTCAGCAGCTAACCTTTCCTGGCTGTTCAACCTCATCTGAATGCCCGGATATATTTCTTCTATAATATGATCACCATGTACCATTGCGCGGTGTAGTTATCCGCTTCTAGCTTCAAACCTAACTCCCCGATTGTGCGGTTGCGACGTTTCCGCCCCGCATGTGCAATCAACGTGGAAACCTTCCGATTCAGGAATCGCCATGGCATTACTACAATGCCGGAAATCAGCAAGAGTACCACCTGTGTTATATGACTTGCATCCAAAGATCATTCGCGCCCATTCAGCTCGAACAAAACATCACCACGGATGCGCGGGAATTCTTCCAGTCCACAGCACAGGAGGAACACGCGCAGCGCCAGTGTTGCCTTTCTCATTCTCTTGATTCGCACGGACTATAACGACGATGCATTCGATCTATGATGGTTGCTTCGTCTGGGCGAACCCATTTTATTGGAATCCGACACAAGTCCTTGCTGTCATTCTCATTCTCATCGTTAGACGCCCGAATGTGCATCTTACATGGATTAATGGCTAATTTCTTTCTTCCAGGTTGCCAAAATAGTAACGGAGCACTTTCTTTCACCGCTCCACAATATTCATGGGCCATTCTCGGCCAAGTATTCAGCAATATGGTTGGCAAAGCAGTGTCGAAAAACACGGCGATCAGCTGCTGTCATGGAACAACACAAAATACATGGCGACTTTGTCCGCATTGCGCCCAGCCACGTTTCAATCAACAACCCTGAAGCCGTCAACGTCATCTACGGCCACAAATCCGGTTTTGTGAAGAGTGTTTTCTACGATGCATTCCTTCAGGTCACACCAGTCGTTTTCAACGTCAGAGATGTAGATGAACACCAACGGAAGAGAAAATACCTGAATCCCGCATTTTCCGCACGGGCGCTTTCTGATTTCGAGCCGTACATGGACGCTGAGTTGCTGGCATGGAAGACGAGGCTCTTGGGAATGGTGAAGGGAGACCGTGCCGTGATAGACTTTGTCACTTGGAGTATGAAAGGCAGGATTTCACATCTTGGTCACGAATACTAACAATTATCCAGCCAACTATCTTGCTTTTGACATCATAGGTCGTTTTGCCTTTGGTTCTTCATTTGGATTTATCGAAAAAGGAGAAGACCCATACAATCTCATTGCCACGATTGATAGACGAGGAGAGGTTTTCAATGCTCTGGGCTCACTTCCATCCTACATTCGTCCGTTGATGAAGTACAACTTTCTTGATTCCTTCTGGAGCGCTGGTCTGCGCGCAAGAGCCAATCTGGAAAGCATTGGCCGAGCAGCATACCAGCGACGAAAAGACAATAAGAATCCTGAAAAGGATCTTTTGTCCTATCTTTTCCAAGCCAAGGATGTTAATGGAGCAATTCAGGAGCAAGAGATGATTGCTGAGTCGATCAGCTTCATTGTCGGAGGAAGCGACACGACTAGCAGCACAATAACGAACTTTATAGATATCGTATCGCGAGACCCTGCTATCCAGAAGAGGCTACAGGCTGAACTGGATGAGGCTTTTCCCGGAATGCAACACGACGACTGGGTAGCTCCCGATAAAGTTGTCCAAAATCTTCCATTGCTAGTTGCCACACTCCGTGAGGTCATGCGAATCCGGCCAACCAGCGCAACAGGACTCGAGAGAGTTGTCCCTGAGGGCGGAAAGACTATTGCTGGTGTTTATTTCCCTGCAGGTGTAAGTGTGCCCGCCAAACCCAAGGTTTTCATGCTAACTAGATCTGTCGGACCAACCGACCGACCAACCACCAACTTCGAGTTTTCTGGAAACCGCTAGAAAAGCACGCTATCTAAGAGAACCGACATAAAAGTCTATGCAGATAATCAAGCTGCTCTACTTAGGTTAAAGACTGCTTCTAATAATCCAGGCCAAGAATGGCAAATTAGATGTATAAAGGCAACAAAGAAACTAGAGGAGATAGGTATACGCCCTAGCCTCTACTGGGTACCAGGCCACCAAGACATCCCTGGGAACGAAAAAGCAGACGCCCTAGCTAAAGAAGCTACTGAGCTAGACCCTCCTTCTACTAGCAAAACTAGCCTAGCTATTACTAGCTCGCGAATTAAGCAGCTAGGAGAGAGAGAATGGCTAAGCCAACTTGAACAGTATAGGAAAAAAGCCACTAGCAAGAATCCACAAACGTACGCAGCAAAATACAAGTAGGAAGATAAGAAAGCAAATCGCTA